GGGCAGAGCTGCCCACGCGGCGGGACTGTCCTGCCCCGAGCGTCCTGTTCGATAGCCACCGGCACGGCTGCAGGAGACCCGTCACCTGAGAGTCACGCGCGAGTTTTACTGTTGCCATTAAATGTGAAGAGACACCTGTGACTGTCTGATTGGCCTGCGCGGTCTCGTATTTGACGCTTAATGGCAAAACTTTTAAAATCCGATTAGGCCCAGGGGTGTTCTTCACGGTGTGCTCTTACGGAACATCCGTCCTCCTAGTCAGCGCTCTGGCATCTGTCCGCCGTTTTGGGAGACGGTGGTGACCCATTGAAACCTGCTATTTCTCAAAGAAAAAAAAGACCCCGCAGTGTGGCGTTTAGAAGGCCCCGGCGTGTGGGTTGTGGGCCGTTGATCGGCCCCTGGCGCCCCCGTCCCCCCCCACCCCCCCGAGAAGAGCGAGCAGCCCGGGAACCGGGGATAAGAGCCAGGCACTCACCCGCCGGTGCCCGGCCCACGCGGAGCTGTCCTCGTGCCATCGAGTAACGTGGTGAGGAAGGTGAGTGACGACAGCACCAAGAGGAAGCGAACAGGACGCATCGCATGCAGGTGGCCAAGCAACCCAGACGCGCGAGGGGACGTTCCCGAGGCCCCGAATCGTGACCTGCCCTTCGGCGTAAAGCCAAGTGACCGTCGCGAGCGCTGAGCGTTTTCCGTTCGGCCTTCGCGGCCCGCGTTCTGTACTTCTGAGCTTCCCGGGGAGGGCGCCGCTCACCGCTGCTGTTTTTTCATTCTAGAGCTGGAAACAGGATTGCTGAAATATTGCCTGAGCATCTGACACCGTTTCAATCCCTTGAAACGCTGGACCTGAGCGGCAATAATATTTCGGAGCTGAAACCTGCATTTCCTCCTCTCCACCTGAAATACCTGTGAGTTGGGTTTTCTGTAACAGGAAAGATGTCGCCTCAGAGGAGGTGACTCTCTTGCTGTAGCCTGAATAACCGCCGTCTGCCTTTCGTTCTTACAATTTGGGATCAGAAAAGTCAGACCCTTTGTGGGGAAAAAACAACCTGGGTCCAGCGCACTTCCTTTAAAAAATGTCAGAATGAAACTGGCGCTGTTTTCATGAATACATGCAGCTCGTGAAAACTGAGGAAAGAAAGTTCCAGCAAACGTCCTTTTTAATGTATTCCTTTATCTGTTGCATCAGTCTTCATCTTGTGCGTTTTCCGTCTCAGTTGTAACCCCGTGGACACGCCCCTTCACCCCGGGCCATCACTCTAGTCCCCTGTGTTTATCCCACCCCAGTTTTGATCTTGTTCCCCTCTCCACCCCCCTAAAATGTCTCTGGCTTATTAGAGCTGTTCACTGTTTTTTGTTTTTACTTTATTACAATTGCTTCCCCCCCGACCCTTTACACTCCTGCTGTGAGTGAAATCATCCAATGTTTTTGTTTTTCTGTCTTATTTCACTAAGCGTGATCCCTTCCCGCTCCATCCGTGTTGCTGCTGAAGGCATTACAGTTTGTCATTTTTTATTGCTGCGTAATACTCCACCGTGTATATGGACCACATCTTCCTGACCCAGTCATCTGTTTTTGGCAGTTGGGTTGAGGCCACATCTTCCCTAGTGTAAATAGAGCATCAGTAAACATCTAGCAAACTTGTGTAGCCTCTGCGCTTTCTGGTCAGTCTTTCCCAGTAGTGTCCGTGAGTCATGGGCCTCACTGGCCCAAAGTTGCTTCGGGATAATTACTTGACGTGTCTGCGCTTACGGATGATGTCAGGTTCTCCAAAACTTCCTTCACCCAATGCTTGCACCTTAACAAACCCCAGTGGAGACAGAAGGAAAAGCCCATTTGAAACATTTGCAGGTATATCAACAGCAACAGAGTCTCCTGGATGGAGCCTGGCTATTTTGACAATTTGGCCAACACACTCCTGGTTTTGAAGCTGAACAGGAACCGCCTCTCGGCCATCCCGCCCAAGATGTTCAGACTGCCCCAGCTGCAGCACCTGTGAGTCGCAGGCCCCGGGGCCGCTGTCTCCTCCCTGCTCTGAAATCGGGCCCCTGGCGTCCCCCCGTGGCCAGGCTGCGTCGGCTTCTCCTGGGCGGCCGAGCTCTGCAGGCCGGCAGTGTCGCTGCGTGAGCGCGCCGTCACGGAACAGCCTCCGCACACCCGTGTCACTGGGCACCAGAGGGGCCCTGGGGACCCTGGGGACGGCTTTCGGGGACAACACCGACCCCCCCCCCGGGGGCCCTGATAGCCTAAGGGGCTGCAGATAAGGGTGGACGCCCAGCGCAGCCTGTGATGTTGGATGTGTTAAGCGCAGCCTGCAGAGCGTGGGCCAAGGCCCCAGACCGCCCTCACCACCGGCAGCAGCACCTCGCGGTAACACCAGGCTCGGCCACGTGTGAAATGCCGGGGTGGCCCAGTGCGCCACCGAGGTTGAGACCTGGGGCCTTGCGGGGGCCGTAGTAAGCGTAAAGAGAGTCACGCGAGGGCGTAGCCAGCGTCACAGACGGCAGGATAAACCCACAGCCCGGCCGGGCAGACGCCACGTCGTGAGGTGGCGGCCGTGGTCCTCGTGGTGGGTAACCGGAAACACAGGTAGGGCCTGGCCGTCCGGGCTGCCAGGACGCCCTGGACAGGAGATGCCGTCTGGTGTCCGTCTTCCATTGTCCTGAAAAGTCATCACTTCGGCAGGAAATGCTCTGCTGGCTTAGGAGATCCGCCCCGTAAGGTGGCTGGAAACTTAACACGTCCAACACCGCCTGCCGCTGCCGGCTGGACGGCTGCGTTGTGGGGTCAGACTTGACCCCTGACCCAGCCTTGGTCGCGGAAGCTCACTTTGAACCGTGTGTCCAATGCAGTGAGCTGAACCGAAACAAGATCAAAAACGTGGACGGGCTCACGTTCCAGGGGCTGGGCGCGCTGAAGGCGCTGAAGATGCAGAGGAACGGGGTGACCACACTGATGGACGGCGCCTTCTGGGGGCTGAGCGCCATGGAGATCCTGTAAGTGGCTCGGCACAGCCCTGCCCAGCCCCGGGCCGCGCACGCAGAAGCCTGGGCTTGCAGCCTCCCTCTAAACCCATCTCGTGTCCTGTCTCTCATGGGCACCGGCCTGGTGCCAGGTGCGTGGCGAGGCTCTGTCAGCACGCAGTGTTTCTCGCTGGTGTCTTTCTAGAGAACGAAAGGCCAGCAGCCACAGGGGAGGTGACCGGTTGTCGGGGCCGGGTAGGAACGTTTGACCGACTGTTGGTTCCTGTTGGAAATGCAGGCAGCTGGACCACAACAACCTCACGGAAGTCACCAAAGGGTGGCTGTACGGCTTGCTGGCGCTGCGGGACCTCCACGTCAGCCACAACGCCATCGCCGCCATCAGCCCCGACGCCTGGGAGTTCTGCCAGAAGCTCAGAGAGCTGTGAGTGCCTTTGTCCTGTCGGGTTTGGAGCAGGGAGGAGGCCAGAGCAGGCGCTGCTGTCCACTGGTCTGTGAACTTCCCGCCACAGCTTCCGAGCTGACCGCCCTTCACACACAGCCCCGTTGCGCTGTGGTTGTGATCAGCTGAGTCACCGCGGCCCTTTCAGCTCTGGGGCCCGTGGGTGAAGCATCGGTGGTGATTTCAAGCCAGAGGAACACGTTCGCTTAATGACGAGAAAGCGGGTCTGCTGTTACGAAGCAGAGCTTTGAGGGGAGGGATCGTGCGGTTCTGTGGGTGAACCTGTTTGGGGGAAACAAGCCAGTTGAATAGAAACGCAAAAGCCACGGGGCCCTCCCTGGTGAGCCGGGGGGGAGCGCAGCACTAGGGAGCCGTCCACGCAGCAGCTCAGCCCCCCCCCCCGCCCGGGAGGGACCCCAGGGCGCGGCAGCCCCCTCCTGCCTCCCCACCGCCCCCTCAGCCACCGGTCTCAGCGGATCCGCCTCTCTGCCCCCCGCTCTGTCTCTGGGGGGGCCTCTCACTGCCCCCCCTGCTCTGTACCCCAGCTCTGTATGCACCAATAAACACTTAAAAAAAGAAAAGAAAAACCAAAGCTACGACTTTGGTCTCGTGGCTCTTCTCTCTACAGAGACCTGACTTTCAACCACTTGTCGAGGCTGGACGACTCGAGCTTCCTGGGCCTCAGCCTGCTGGAAACCCTGCACCTGGGGAGTAACAGAGTCAGCTACATCGCCGACTGCGCCTTCCGGGGACTCTCCAGGCTAAAGACTTTGTAAGTCACGCCTTGTGCCGCTTTCCCCAAGCAGGTTTCCTGCGTTGGGACGTCAGCAGTGCAGCTTTAATCTGTAAAGCGGGTCCGGTTCTCCCACCCGTGTTTCTGAAAGGGGTTCGCAGAGGACGTGCCCAGGTGGGTCGGTGACTACAGGCCCCTGCCCAGGCTCTCGGGAGTCGGAAGCCGCCCCGGACAGTGTTTAAGCCGCAGGCTGGCGGTGACTGAGCGCGTGAATCCGCGCAAAGGCCGCCCAGGACGGTGCCTGCCCGTGCTCCCAGCTCCGTCCGGGCCTGAGCTGTGTCTCGAGGGGAGACGCGCGCGTCAGGCCCCTGACCTCTAGGACGCTTGCGACGTTCGTGGGGAGGTTGTGCGAGCGGCTGCCGTGTGTTTGCACCGCCAGGGCTTGGGCTCAGTTCCCGCTTGAAGCGCTCCACGAGGGAAAGCCGGGCTGAGTGCTCTGGCAGACGCCTGCCGGCGTGGCTTGAAGCTGCGCTGTGTTTTTCAGCCTCTTCAAGTGGCTCCACGTTGAGTCATCTTGACAGGGGAACGAATGGAACCAGAGTCCACCGTCCCGATTTCGAGCAGAAGCTTAAAAAGTGGCTGAGGGAGCGGGATGGGGCGTGAGAGGCACGGGGGGGGGGGGGAGCCCGCCGGGTCGGGGGGGGGGCGCCCGCGTGGCACCGTCTGAGGAGGTGACCGAGAAGCGCCTCGGACGCGTCGCGGTGACGCCTCCTGTCTCGCCAGGGACCTCAAGGACAACGAAATCTCCTGGACCATTGAGGACATGAGCGGGGCTTTCTCTGGGCTCGACAAGCTGCGGCGGCTGTGAGTTCGCGCCTCTCTCCGGCCTGAGCGTTTGGTCTCCGCTCTGCTCGTCTTCAGGGCAGCCCCCCCAAGGGCTTTAGAAACAGGTGCCCGAGGGCCCTTCCTGGAGGCGCAGGGGTCCAGTCTCAGCACTGTGCAGCTGCCCGCAGCTGCGTCGCGAGTTCCGTCCCCGGCCGGGGGGACCCCGGGGCGCGGCAGCCCCCTCCCGTCCCCCCGCTGCCCCTCAGCCGTGGGTCTCAGTGGATCCGCCTGTCCTGCTCCCCGCTGTGTCTCCCCACCGCTGGCCTGCGCCCCAGTTCCTGTGTGCATCAGTACATAAACCTTTAAAAAAAGAGAAGAGAATGGGTGGCCGAGGCGCCTGCTGCCCGTGGCCTCCTCCCCAGGCAGCGCGTGGGTGGACACGCGTGGGTCAGCCTCCTTCCCGCGTGGAGCGCTGTCGTCGACTCCAAGTGTCACATGTTTGTAGTAGCTAGACGAGGAGCTAATTCTGCTGCAGTGGCTCGGCTCTCGCCCCTCGTTGTGCGGTCAGACACTCACTGAAGTCGATATTCTGACGCGTCTCAGAGGTGCATTCGGCCCTCGGGGGCTTTTCCAGTGAAGGGGCCTGTGTCGCCGATGACCACAGCGCTCCCACGCTGGCCAGGATCACACACGCCCCTGCTGACCGTAAAGCACCCTGCGCATGGCGTGTTGGAAGCGCGGGGTTTTCAGGTCATGGTTAGCCCTGAGTGTCCGTAGTTGATGAAGCCATCCGGCGGGCTGGGGAGAAAGTGTCCGCCCTTACGGACTTACTCCTTGGCATTAAGCTGGCATTTACCCGGAGGAGGTGTCTTTCCTGCCAAGACTTTGAGGATCCCTGGAGTGGCTCACGGGAGTCCTGCTTTTGCTGGCTCCGGCCACTTCCCGGCCTCCGTGCTGAGTTCTGCCCCTGAAGTGGCCTGGGGACATTTTAATGGACACTGGGGTCTAAGTGAAGAAGCAGGATATTCACAAGTGACCCAGAAGCAGTTGTTGTCGTAAGAATTCCACTCCAGTGTGACTTTTGTTAACTGTTTAAAATCTGTTTCTTTCCCCTAGAATCCTCCAGGGAAACCGGATTCGATCTGTTACCAAAAAAGCCTTCGCTGGCTTGGATGCGTTAGAACATCTGTGAGTAGCTGGCGTGGAACGCTCTGGAGAGGCGCTCAGGTGTCCTCCCCACGCATGGGAAGGAGCGAGCTGGTTGGACGGCCATTCCGGCCGCTTCCTCCCGCGTACGCGTCTGGGCCGCTCTCGGTCTGTGCTTCCGCCTGCCCTCTCCCCCCCGTGGGGTCTCTGTGACAGAGTCAGGGACCTTTGTCCCTCTGCACGTGAGAATGTCGCTCCACCTCCTCACGGGCTGTGTTCCACGGCCACATACTCCCTGTAGTGGACCGACCCTCTTCACGAGGACACCGAGTAATGGCCGCTACGAGCGTTCTGTCCAAGTTAACAAGTGGAGGGTCTGTGTGTCCGCTGGGTCCACGAAGAACACGAGTTGGACTTCAGGGATCACAAA